GAGCGCATCGCCAGTTGCAATTTTGCTGCGAAAGACCTCGATCGAAGCCAAGGTAATATGCTCACATCGCACGTGGTTGTCGAGGACGCCCACTGGCTGTTTGGCCAGTGCTTCACGTGTCAAACATGGACGCTAGCCGACGGCGTCCTCACTGTGGTCACCGAGAAGCACGAGTCGAAGCAATACCATGTCGTGGCCGGCGGAGGATGGTCTGGGATCCAGTATGGCATCCAAGTGCTAACGGCCGACGGCAAGAGTTTGCATGCGTGTGCCGGGACCAAAGTGCGATGGGCCATGTGGCTCGACGCGTTTCAGGACCTCGTCCCGCTGCAGAAACCGCACTCCCCCGTTAAAGTTCAATTCAACGACGACGTGGCCGTGCGTGAAATCCCCATGCTGTCCGAAGAGGAGAAGCTCCTGCTGTTTGCCTCCGACCCCGTTTTTGACTCAAGTTTGTGCGCTTGAAGCGAGCACGCCCAGAGCATCGCAGCGACGCGTCGTGGTCGACCTCTAGCTTAGGTTCGCGCCCGGACCTGCGCTGGCTTGCCCTTCCACCTTCCCCAGTGTGCCCAGCCCCTGCCTCAATCGCCAATCCTTCGACGCCAGTCCTGTCCTTCCATTCCATGCCGATTTGGGCGGAGCGGACCGACGGCACCGTCGGCGGAGTACCCAGAGAGTACTTCGTGCAATACGTCTTATGTAAAAATATACCCCATTTGTATTTTTTTGTTTCGCGAGCGATATGCAACTTGACATCTTCGTTTTGAGAAATGCAAGACAAATCAACAGACTCAAGGTCATTTCATTGAAAATGTCATTGAGAAATTGACTATTTTTTCGAGAATTTTTGCCTCCCTTATATCCTATGCCCAAGTTGAAGACCACAAAAACCAAGCACCAACACCCTTGAAAGCAACGCCCGAGCTTCAGAAATACGGATAATCGTCCGGATAGACCGACGAATTCGCCTAGATAAGTATAGCGTCGTCATGTCCCCTCGGTCGCCCGCCACCACGGCCGGACAAGAGCGCGGTTCCAAACTTCTCGTGTCATCAAATGACTCTTTTTGCCTCCCGTAGGCAAAGATGGAAGATAGACTGCTAGACCAGGACGGTGCACATGCTATTGCTGTATTGATATCAGCGAATTTCTAGAATGGCCTCGAAACAGAAACGTTGCGGGCCTTCAACCCGTGCCATGACGAAATTACTCGGCGGAACGACAACTTGGAGCGAGTTTGGCATCGATCAGCAACCAAATCACCGCCGCGATGACGAGTTCACGGGCCACAACGACATCATTCATCCACGTCATGGAGCCGCACTGGCTGCTTGGAGAGATTCCCAAGCAGGAGCGATGGACACTTGAAGGCGACGAATTGACGACCGCAGGCAAGAAAACCATGAAGCATCGCGTCACGGAGGGCAGTGTATGGCACGACAAAGCGCTGGGTATTCAAATGTGCACGGAGGACGGTTTGTGGTTGCGTGGCACTGCGACAACGAGGTCTCAGTGGGCCATGTGGTTGCAAGCCTTTCACGCACTGTCCCCGCCCATGACGGCCGAACCGTCGCCGTCCCGCGTCCAGTTTAGCAATCAAGTGCGAGTCCGGCGAATTCCTTCCGTCACGGAGGAGGACGCGCCACACCTGTACTACAATTCGGTGGAAATGGCGACCATGTCGAAAGCCATGTATGTCTGAGCAATTTCCCCAAGTCCAGTGGCCGCAAGAGCGCTCTCGAACGAGCACTTGCGTCAAACCCGGCCCCAGGGTATCCTTCCACCACCAGTGTCGATGCGCGGCATGATCGATCGCATGCGCTCGACGAAGAAGCGTGGCATCCCTGCCGATATTAAAGCGCGAGTCCCACGGCGAGTCCACGCAAGCCCAGGCATCATGGCATTCGTAGTCGCACCCCGTGCGAGCAGTAGGTCGAACCGCTCGATCTTACGCGAGTTTTTCATGTTTGCTGGTGGTTGGTCGTTGCCTGGTTAACCTCCTCGTCTTACACTTTGATGGGCATCGCGATCGGACCCTCCACAAAAGCAGCGAATTGGGGCGAATTCTGTGGCAGAAAGGCCCTCCCCTGGCGGAACTTGAAGCTGGTCGTGCGGTCAGGCTCGTTTGGGCAGTACAGCTGTCTCAAGGCGCCTTCCCTTGGACAGGAGCGTCAAGAGCCCCAGCAGCGTCAGAGTCCCTCATCGAGGCTGGCCACTCGCGTCGGCACTGAAATTCACGATCATTCAAAATTTGGATCGTCCAAAAAGGGAGTTTCCTCCCTGCCAATATCTATCGTTAGCCCTGGAGTCGCCATGCCTGCTTTGCTCCGTTCGCAGTACGAAAGGAGTGTGCTCTTGTGACGGATGGCGCGAATGGTAGCTACCACAATTCGCAAGCTCCGGTTTGGTTGTCTCGACGGATGTGCACCGCATACGACGCAGAAGACAGGGCGTCTCTCGTCGTCGTGGATTCAACCATGCTAACTACAGTTTGCTGGGGGCTGGACAAAGTCGCAAGGTGGGCATGCTGCCTCGGCAACAGCCCTGCCATCGATCATGCCTTCAAACGCCCTTCACCAACGCCCCCCAAACACAGCTCAGCATCGTCAAGCAGCCCATGTCGATGCTGGTTTCATATCAAAGAACACGAAAGCGATCTCTTTCCACGTCTCCATGCAATGTCAAAGCAAGCACCAAACAAAGCAAGTTAAACTGCTAACACACTGGCGACGTCCATCTACTCCAAGTCGGCTAAACCTGGATCCCCAGAGAAGCGCCGATGCGCGCAATGCGCGAGCGAAGACTGATCGTCACCGCCAAGGCTAGTAAAGTACCGCAAGAGCGCATTCGTGTATCCCAGGATGAAGTCTTCGTTGACGAGCTGGGCCATCGTGATCCCTTCCACATCTGCGACGGCCGCAGTATGTTCTTCGTACTGGAAAACATGCGCTTCCAGCTCCATGTGCAAGTGCATGAGCTGTAGCGTCGCGACGTTCAAAGAGTGCGTCAAGGAGCCGTCGAGGACGGCCGCTTCCGTATGCTTTGCGTTCAAGTACACCGACAACACGTGGGGTTTGTGCTGCATTTGGCATTCGAGCCACACCCGCTTGCAAAACGCGTGCATGGTGCAGTGAGGTGTCTCGGGCGAAACAAACCACCGGTGAAACTGCTGCAGGAGCGTGAGCTGGGGGCTGTCCAACTTGCCCCGTTTACACTTTACGTAGATGCGCCGGTGCTCGTCGAGGGTGCGCAGGCGGCAAGCATTGGCAGTGCCGTTCTCGTTTTTGGTCGCGTCGACTGTGATGGGAAAGTGGCGGGTTGACGTGATAGCGAGCTTGTCAAATGCAGGGAGCAAGTGGGGGGTTCGAATCACAACCTCTGACACGGTTCCTTTCTTGGAGATCGCTACGTCCACAGGGCAGAGCAAGCCCGTATCGGCGTTGATGGTCTCGACAAATCGGTGCGAGTCGATTGCGAGCACGTACAAGTGCCGCAGCGCTTGCAAATGGTACTTTTGGTCGGACGTTTTGCACGGATACATGGGATAGAGCGCAATGACAAGCATGGCGATGCCGAATGGAGTCGTCTTTAACGAGCACCGACCGCCGCCCAAAAACAACAGGCCCAGAGCACTACTCACAGACATGTGGTTGCCGTACGTGACGTCGGCCATCGCGTCCGCTTTCTGTCGCAATAATACAACTCGAAGCGCTTGTAGAGTGGCCAAGTCGCCACTTCCTGCCATAACAAGCCCCACGGATTGAGCAAGGACGCCCAAACAACGCTCGCACGTGACTCGGCTCACAGCTTTTGCCTTGGAGCGCCACTCGCAATAGTCGGAGATGCACCGCAGCAACAATGCCTTGGCATCCGGGTCATGCGATCCTATCACAAACGTCACTGCGTCAACTCGCATCGACAGAGGGAAACCCCCACCTGCATATTTCAGCCCAATGCTAAAACAAGCGCCAGCCAAAATGTTGGCATACGCTTCCTGTGCCGTTGGGGCATCGACGTCGGATCGTTGTAAACTCGTTGGTTGGTGGGCTTCGATCCAAGGCAGTGAGGGTTGAATTGCATCCCACGCCACTAAGTTGGACGATACCACCCGCACAAACAACAGATCGGGTCGCAATGCCTCGAGCAGGACGACAGTATTTGGAATCTCGAGCTGCTTGCGAACGCGGTCGTTGTTGCTCTGGAGGTACATGAAGGCTAACGCCAATGCACTGCCAGCCGCTGTCACGTCCATGTCGACGTATTCGTGCGTCGCAGACTTGGCGCGAGTGCGCAAGATGCAGTTGCCCGGCACCTGCCGAGTCTTGTGGGACCCGCCGACCATATATTTGACCAATTTCGCCTCCACATTCAAATCCGCCAAACCAGGGTCGCTCCGTCGACCCAGCGCAATCAGTCCCACCGCCATCCCTGCCGCCAGCGCATACCTAGACGTACCGTCAGCACCGATGGCATCAGCAAGCCCAGCAATGGTCCTTTTACGACCACCACCACGAAGAAAACAACGGAGGTCTCGGTGACGTACCCTTCCTTTTGACTCAAATCGACCGTGGGCTGGGACGACGTCGACGACATCACGACTGGCGCCGACACAATTTCCGACAGCATCATTTCGGTCATGTTGCGATTGCCCGTGCTTTGGTACACCAACCCTACTCACGCAAGTTGCCTCCATCAACCTACATGGAGCCAAGTCCCTGGCGACGTACCGAGCCCAATCAACGCCGCAGTTTGCACGGAAGGCGTAATATTTACGTGCGAGTACGTTGGAGGGAGCATCGACGGAATGTGCAGCGACAGAATTCGTGTCGCCGATCGTTCCAAGTTCAAATCTTTCGGTCGTGCCACCACCGTCGTGGCCGCCAGACCAAGCAGCAGCCCCACTGACGTGAGTTCGTGGTCCACAGACAAGTACTGGAAGATGGCGCTTTGACTCAACTGGTTCAAGTGTCCCAGGAGCCCCAGCCCGAGAAGAAATCCAGCGTGGGCCGAGGTCAATTCGAGGTTTTCCGTTCCTGCCTGTTTCGGCTTGTGCGAGAAGATCCACTGCGCAGTCACGGTCGTGGTGGCGTGTCGTGCCGAGGGCAGTCGGAGCGCTGTCGCGACGCCGTTGTGGAATTGCGGCCACAGCATGAGTTCTTTGTACGTGGATGAATCCAAGTGAATCTAACGTCACGTCAGGTTTTGACTGGGTGCATGAGACGACGAGCGGACCTTCGCATTGGATTCGGCAATTCGCGCTGCCAATGGCATCGGCGGCGTGCCGAGCGGCGACGTCAACGAAGTCGATGCGTGGTGCAAAGCGAGGCTTCCAAACGTGACCATCCCTCTGGCCACGGGTAACGCCATGGACCGTTTGCAAAGGAGGAGCAGTCTGGCTTGCTGCATGTTGATCACATCGGCGTCGGACATGGTCGGATCTTTCGGGATTTTTAAGTACATGATTTTGTTCGATCGGAGCAAACGCGCGACTTCTTTCAAGCGGTGGTCCTTTGGGAAAAGCGGCGCGTGCCAGTGGAGAACATCATCGAATCCGTCGTCGTCCGCCATCAACGGACGAGGTGGCGCGGCGGACCGAATAGCGCCGTCATGACGGCCGAGACCAACCCAATCTGGGCGTTGAATCACGTGGCACGTGGCAGCATCCCACAGGTCTCCCGGTGCATGGGTGCAAATCGTACGCGCGTATCGCAGAGGAAGCGCGACGCCGTCGGGAAGGTCATCCATCAAGTGCTCGAACGAAGGAATGGTGACAAGATGGTGGACGACACCTTGGGCGCGAACGTAATGTAGCCAGGGGCTGGGCTGGCGATTGTCGATGGCGGCATCGGTGTTGATAGCTGGGTACAGCTTGCAAAACAGCGCCACTACGTGTTGAGTACGTGAAAAGAGAGGTGAGGTCGAGAATTCCGGGGGGCGGCGGGTCCGATGTCGGTTCACGCGATTGTAGTAAAATATCGCCATCCGATGCTGCAGCCATCCGTAGATACAAGGTGGCGATGTCGATGCCAACGATGTCCATTGTTCGGTTGAGGGACTCGGTGACAGTGGGAAGGAGGGAGATTCGAACGGGGCGGCGGCTTCGTTCTTCGAGTTGTTCAATGGGCCAAGGTCTGCGACGTAATGCTGGGCATAAGCAACCAGTCCTGTTGCCAATGCCACTGAATGCAAGACAGTGCCCAATGGACCAAGCCATGAAAGAGAGCTCGTCGAAAGCTTCAGGTCTTCGTAAAGCGCGTGTAAAGTTGAAAAGATGGTTGGCAGTTGGCAGCGAAGCTCGTGAACGAGGTCCAGGTCCCATGTCGTCGCTGGCACGATAGAGTCAAGGTCTCGACGTGGTTGACCAAAGATCTTCGGTTGGTCGTGAGCCAGCCACCGGAACGTTAACGTTGCAATCAGCTGTTCGTACACTCCAGGTTCCTTGGATGCTGTGGGGGCAGCTGCCTTGGATGGTTCACCATCCAAGGGGATTGCACTAACTCGAAGGAGCGACGTGAATGCATCCCAGTCGGTCTGCGGCGCGGACCGAACAGCTCCCCGCCACTTCAGCGCCAAGTGTTGCGGGAGTTGGACAGCCATGCAGTCGAAGATGCGACCGAGCAACGCACAGGTAAAGTCCAGCGGAATCTTGACCCGACACGGATCGTTGGTCGACGTGTGGACCTCCAACGTATCGGCAACAGGACATTCCCTGAGCTCCATGATGTCATCGAACGAGCGAATGGCTGTCGGCAGGCCGAGCCGGCAGATTTTGCGGTCTCCTTGGTACAAAATCCATTCATTCTCGGGGGTGAGGACCACGAGGTTCTTCGCCCAGGATGGAGTCCACGCGGTGCGCTTGCCCAAAACAGGACACGCCAATCGACAACGAAGGAGAGTTAGTCGCGCGAAGGAAGCTTCTCGTGGATGGGTCTGCTTCGTGCTGGCCATGATGGCTTGGTCTAGAGGCTGCATGCACAGTTCGCAGCGGGACGGATTGAAGAGGCAAAGCACACGCAACGAGTTTGCATCGGAAACGACAAAAAGCTTGCACGGGCTTATGTCCGACGACATCGAGATGCGCGGACTCTCCCAAATCTGACCAGAGTCCATTCTGGTGTGAAGGACACACGAGTGGGAATGACGAGAAAAGGGCTACCTGATGGAGGGCAAGCTCAGGTACGATCGACGTGGACTTGGAGCTAACTTTGGCGGCGATGGGTACCAAGGACTTGACGCGGTAGGTACGACGGTGGGGATGGTAGAACGCCAGAAAGGGTGGGTCAGCGGCGTCGACGTACACGAGTGTCTCGACTGGATCGGTCACGAACGCCCAGTCTTCGGGACGTTGCGACGCATCGACATGCATCATGACGGGTTTAATTTCATCCAGAGGGTGCATCAAACTGAACAGCACGGGTGTGTTTCCCGACGACGGAGGGGACTTGGATCGCTCAAGCAACACCCCGCGTTGCATGGCCCAGATCGACGTGGCTTGAAATGGAAGTGGCACGTCCACGATGGAACCGGATGGAGAGATGACCGTCATACGATCAGGCTTGGCGAGAACGCACACGCTGTGCCCCACGTCGTCGTTTTGTCCGTTGAAGTCGACGAACGCAATGTCGAGCACATCCTGCGGAAACTTGAACGTTCGATCGAGCACGTGTCCATGGGCTATTCTCCACTCGACCACGCTGCCCCTCATATGAAGGCGACCGCGGTCCACATCGTCACAACCGGGGGGTGCAAATATCTCCTTTGTCACCTCTGGTGCGGGCCGCCGGACAATTCCTCCATCGTGCACATCAAGTACGTACATGAGAGTGCCATATATTAAATACTGAAGGCTATTGTGCGCATAGGTGTATTAAATCATAAAGGATCTGCAAAATCGAGCCGCATTGACGGCAGCCTCGTGCCAACGTCCTCTGCGTGCACTCTGTCACCTGTGGCAAGACGGGTGCGTTCAAGGGCATGTGCGCTTTGCACGAAGGGTGTACGGCCGCATGCTCGAAAGCGACGCCTAATTTCTTTCGCCGACGGTGTGCAGGCATGGTCTGCGTGAAAAGTGGCTTCAGTACTACCTCCAAGGATGAACTCGTAGAGCTATCAAATGTGGCACGACATATGCACAGGAAGATGGTGGTTCTTGGCGAGATGATGAATGAAACGAGCTGTGCTGTCGACGTCGTTTCAGAAAGGTCGGCAACTACTTCTGACATTGGTTGGGATGCCAACACCAGTGCGACAGGACATTGCCAGCAATGCGACTGTTGCGATGCACCGGTAGCCCCCACAGCCACACCACCCTGCTTGAATTCTCTTGATGACTCACATGCGCCTGCAGAGTGAGGCGAGTAGTTGCGTGCTCGAGCTCAGTACTGGAGCGTCAAATGTACCACACCGCGTCATCCGGCAGGTCCAGCTCGTGCCAGGCAACTGAGGCGGCGCGCACCAGAGCTCAATCACAATTCGCATGAGTCGACAGCCCTTTCGTTGCCTTGCCGTCGTACCTTTGCATCTTCGACTGTAACGACAAGACGGTGGAACAAGGTACTTGATCCGGTTCGCCCCCCACACCAAGCCAAGCGCACAACTGTCAACACAGCTTTGTGAATGGAATGCCAGGCCTAGGACGTCCTGCATGTAGCACTCCGGCGGTACCTATAGCCTGGCATTGCACGATTTGGCTTGCCTCTGCAAGGAGGTTAATGGCCATCGGCTCAAACGGTTGGATCACAGCAATCATATTCGACTGTCCCCGAGTGACTGGACAGGATGCCGTCCTTGCAAACCGATCGAAAACAAAACTCCTTTAAACTGCTTGCCCACGCAATAGAAGCTGCAGAGAAGATCACGACATTAGCGTTTGCGCCTCTCCACCACCGTCTCCACTGCGGAAACGACCGTGGACGTCTGGAGTCGGGTTCACGGACATACATTGCTGAATTTGTCGTAGCATGGGCTATATACCTCCGAGCGATTCAAGTCGCGTGCGACACCTACCAGGTCCACGACCACGGCTCGTGCTGCCAGCGCTCAGCATGGCAACGAGCTTGTGGTGGACCTCAAAGCGCTACATGCATCAGCAGCTAAAATCTATCGGGGATCTGCGACTACGCCGTTTGCGAACGCGGGTAGTCGTGGTGTCTTAGGCCAATCACTATAATCGCGCCGCGTGATTGGAATCGTGCCGCGTGCCCTCAGCAGAAGCACGCCAAGATCTCCCAGCTTTTTTGACGGGTCAACATAAAATGCCCATTTGGAATCTCTATTGCAGCTCCGATATGCAGCAAATTCGTACGACATAATTGGTCGTGAAAGCTTGACAGGTGGGACGAGTCAGAGATATGTCGACGACGGAAACAAGGTCCCCCTGCACATCAACATTTCCAGAGCCATGTACGCCACCGCCGAGTCGCGGACGTGGAAGTTCATGAAGGCCGTCGCAGTCAAGGAACACGTGACGTCGCTCAACTTCGTCGCGTTCATCCTGGCGTCGGGCCTCGCGATCTGCATGTTTGTCTTCCTTAGCTCGACGCAAGGGTTTGTCTTGAACCAAATATTGCACATCGACCTGGCCGTCATTGGCAACATTTCGGGAAACCTCACGCTCTTTGACGAGTGCATCTCGCTTATCATGGTGTCTGTGTGGGGCGTCTGCAGCGACCGGTGGGGACGCCGCGGAATTTACGGCGCGGGGTTTGTCCTCATGGGCGTTGGCCTCGCGTTGTACCCGTTTGCGACGGCGTTGTCCCCATACTTGATCGTGTATCGTGGCATTTTCGCCATCGGAGGCGCCGCAACGTCATCGATGCTCACTGCGGTGTTGGCCGACTACTCGTCGGAGAAGGACCGCGGCAAGGTCAGCGGCATGGTCGGCCTCATGTCTGGGGTGGGGGCTCTCCTTGCGGTCTTTGTCTTTTTGCGCTTGCCCGCCAAGTATGTGGATCAAGTTCACGGCCTGCGTTTTACGTACAGCGTCGTGGCGGGCATCTGCGCGGTGTTTGGCGCCTTTTTGTTCCTTGCCCTGCGGCCTAAACTCTTGACGGACCCTGTCACGATGACACTGATTCCATCCGCGGACAACAGCAGTGCTGCAGAGACCAACGCCTCCACTGCGCACGCTGCCCAGCCCGTTGATCGATCCAAGTCCGTGTCGTTCTGGAGTGGCCTTCGCGCCGGAATCGCCGCTGCCAAACACGGCAAAGTCCTCTTGGTGCGCATGCGATCACTTGCCCAGAGACTGACGAGGTGTTGCAGGGCTACATTGGCAGCTTCCTCGCCCGCGGCAACACGATCATCATTACCATCTACCTGCCGCTGTGGGTGTACAAGTACTTCGTGGACAACAAGCTGTGTGCGTCAGCGAATGCGGACTCGGACACAATCAAGACGGACTGCCGGGATGCATACATTCGCGCGTCCGTCTTGAGCGGCGTCGCGCAAACCGCGGCGATGTTGGCAGCTCCATTGTTTGGCTATCTTGGGGACAAGTTGTACCGCCCGCTCGTGGTGCTCTTGGCCACCGTCCTCGGCCTGGCGTCGTACTTGTGGCTCTTCCTATGCACGGATCCGCTAGCGAGCGTGATGTTCGTGGTGGTCGTCCTCGTTGGCGTTGGTGAAATGGCGATCGTCGTGTCGTCTTTGTCGGTCGTGACGTCGAAAGCCATCCCGACCCATCTCCGGGGATCCATCAGTGGGGCGTACTCTTTCTCGGGAACGATCGGGATCATGGTCGCGTCCAAGCTCGGCGGGTACTTGTTCGACGTGTGGCAGCCCACCGCACCGTTCTTTGTCATGGCGGTGGGCAACTTGGTTGCGGTCGTCGTTGCAGTCGTTGTCCTGTATCGGGACTTCGTTGCCGTCAAGGCAAAGGACCCGAACGCCGCGCAAGGCTGGGGCGGACTCCACCGAGCCCTCATGCACCACCAAAACACTCTGGACGAATTGCGGTTGGAATAATGTTAACATGGATTCGACTTTCGTTTTCATACGGCGAGGGGGGGGGTTGGTTGAGGGCAGTCGTAGTGTACAGAGGAATCAAGGAACGCGATGAAACGAGGAGATCGCGGTGGAGGAACGCTACGCCACGTGGGGGGTTTGGCCACGAGGCAGGTGAGCAAGGTGCATGCGGACGTCCGCGACATCGTGCAGCGCAAGCAGCTGATGGGTCAAGCTGTACATTTCGACGTCCCGGTGGTTGCCACCATACCTATGGAGCAAGATGTCAATGGGTCGACGGGACTAGTGTCGGGCACTCACGGCTTGCAAATGATCGTGTTTTCGACGGACGCCACCCAAGCGGTCGGGTTGTCGTCGACAACCACGACCTCCGACAACGGACGGCCAGTAAGGGACAAATCTTTGCGCAGGATCGACTGCAGCAGCACATAAGAACCAGCGACAGGACATTCACGAGATGCCACGCGGGCGGCGGCCACTCACCGGATCTGCAACGTCTGTAGTACAAGCGTCCCGGTACAACCGATACTTGATCAAGCGCTTGGCGTCAACGAGGTCAACGAGATCGTCTGTGCACTACAGTTTCGAGCGGCTCCATGAGCGTACTCTCTCGTGGTGATGTATAGCAAGAAGAGCCGTACTCTGCGATCGCTGGCCGTGAACACAGCAATATCGTAGAACGGCGCGACGGAGTCGAGCAAAAATTGCGCGCCGGGCCGAATCGATACGTATATGGAGCTGCTTGAGTGGGATTGAGGCAGCTCGTACACCGCAACAAAGTCTGCCGTGTCGAATGGCTACATGACGTATAAGCCAACGGAACAGGTCGATGGGATGTCGCACTCGGTACGATCGAAACCATAATGTGCGATCCAAGTCCAATACGAGGAGCTTCTTTCGACTGGCTAACGACGGAGACCCATGCGGCATCGACGCTAACTGTAGGATGCGGCTCCATTCCCTGTCGAGCCAGGCCTGCCACGTCGCGTCCAGCAAAATATCCTGCGCGTCGAGCTGCGCTTGCAGCGCTGCGTGGATGTCGAGGACCGCCGTGGAGGGCGACGATGGGAGGCTCGGAGATGGCCCTCCTGGTCCGAAGGTACATTCAGTAACCAAACGATAAAATCGAGCTTGTACCTTGCAGGGAGACGAGTATTTGTCCATGGAGGCGGTTGACCCAATTGCGGCCATGCTTGGTGGTTGAGATTTCTCCGGCCGTGATCGCTCGATCGATTTGTCCGATGAGATGCGCCACAAAATGGAGAAGGGTCGCCGTGTTGGGACCAATCGTGGGCTCCAGCGAACGAATGGGATGTTCATCCATGACGAAAGTGAACCGAGGATATCTCCTCGCGACGTGGACCGACCGATCCATGTCGTACGTGCGCAGTGTTTGGAACTCGTCACTCCGCCGTAGGAGCATTCGTGACGTGGGCGACGCAGCGCTCGCATTTCGGCTGTGATGGCGGCGAGTATGGGTCGGTGGCAGCGACCGCCGGCATCCCGTGCACGCCGCAGCACCCGACGTGAGCGACGTTGACGCGCGGCGACCCAATGGCGGAGCAGACGACGATCCATGCGCCGGCCCCGTCGATGCAGACCCTCCCCTGAACGCCCCAACCAAATTGGACCACGTGCGCTCGAGCCACCGGTCCATCGTTACTGCCTTTGACGCCGACCACGACTTGCCGAAACTGATGGAGGATTTTTTGCCCGTTACACTTTGGCGTCGAAAGTATTTGCAATGATTTTTGAAGCGTTTTGATTGGCTCGTCCAAAATTCCTCGCGTTCGGATTGGTCCTCCAAAGCTCCCAACGAGTAAAAAATCTACCGAATGTTGAGTCCGCTTCCGCCGATTCAGTCGCGCTCCTTCGTGGCTTGCCCGGCCACCACCACCGCGTCGTTCTCGATGCGGCAGCGCTGGCATGGTCACGACGCCTCGTGACCGTCCATCGCGTAGGCCACCACCTCAAACGACGGACGTATGGCAGGCCAACAGCATGGAAAACATGCCAACACCCAAGGCTCGACCGGGCTACTGTACCACATAGATCCGTGAACAACGACGACGGCGGTGCTGCAACTTCGCAGGCGGGTGAGGACCAAGTGGTCAACATCCGCTGGCACCGCTCGTTCAGTTCCTCCAGGAACGTGTACGGTCGGCCTCGCGGTGGATGCATGCATGGCCACACTCTTGTGTGTCGATGTGCATGAGCCCTCGATCACGTGGGCAAAGTGTCGGGTACCTACTCTCGTCGAGGCAGCAACAAAGGTACTGTCATAAGAAAGCAATGAAGCGGTCGTTGTGTCTCCTATGGCATGACACAGCAGTCCGCCACTGAAGCGTTTGGGGTCCCTAGAGTCGTAGCGAACGGTGCTGCCATGGACAGCGCATGGAACGATTAAAGTAGTTGGGGAGCTCTCACACGGCGGACGTTGGAACTGCCCGAGTGGACTGGCGACACGTGTCTCGACACCAGTCGAACGCGCTAAAGTCACCCGATGCGTCCGAATCCGACCGGGTTCTCCTCATCAACTTGTCGTGGGGGACCGGCACGCTCTTGAATTGGTTGCCAAAGTGCTGTGTGTCCTCCATGTGATCCAAGTTCGGCACGTAAGGCACGGGCACTTGCTGGATGCCGAGCTGGTACCAGTCAACGGACGCCATGAACGGGTGGTCAAGAAGACGGCGAATGGTCCATCGCTTCTGTGGATCGAGTTGGAGGCAGTGCGCGATGAACGTGCATGCTTCAACCGGCATGTCGTCGGGGTACATGACGTGGCCCGAGCATATGCGATCGAAGAGCGCGCGGCGCCCAGCGGTCGTGTAGAACGGCGGCAGACCCGTCAAGAGTTCGAATACGACGCAGCCGAGGCTCCACACGTCGGCGGCGAGGCCGTAGCCACAGCCCAGGATGACTTCAGGTGCCATGTAATCCACACTGCCGCAAAAGCTGTGTGTGATCGACGACGGAATCATGTTTGTTTTTGCCAGACCGAAGTCAGACAAGCGAATGAACCCTTTGGCGTCCAAGAGGACGTTTTCGGGCTTCAGGTCGCGGTACGCAATGCCACACACTTGATGGAGGTAGAGGAGCGCAGACAGCATCGAAGCTGTGTAAAAGGTCGTAAGGGCGGCGTCCAAGTGATGATGGCATTCCAGGAGACTGTAGAGGTCACCACCGGGGCAGTACTCGAGCACGAAATGGTAATGGGTTGGTGACTCGAACGCTGCATCTAGGTAGATCAAGAAGGGGTGCTGAGTCGTGCTAAGGACAGCCCGCTCCGTAAGCAGCCGCACCGACTCTTCTTCGCACATCTTGGATTTGTCGATACTCTTGATCGCCACGAGGGTGTTAGTTGATGCTTTCCGACTCAGGGTCACCGTCCCAAACGCGCCTTTGCCCAGGACTTGAATCGGTTGGTAGACTTCCTGTACATCATGTGTGTCGGGAGGAGACGAAGGTGGTGGGGATGGCTTCAACGAGTCGATGGAAGCAGGCGACGGCGGTAGCGATGGTGCTGCTGCAACCGCCCGCGAGTGCCACGAGTGTAAGCCAAAGCGAAGCCACAGCTTGACAAGTTTCCATCGTTTGAACGCATCATAGTGCGGGTTTGCGTTGCAAAGGGACGTCCTGTTCGCGGGAGTCGCTTTGTCACAGGCAATGCCTTCGTTGCTTCGTCCCCTCACGGAGCACGCATCCATTTCGACGGGAGAATGGATCGACTGCGGCATCGCCTACAGTGGCAGTCCGCTCGTTTCGACCTGGAACAGCCCGCCTTTTCGAGGTTCAACCTCTTAAACGGAATAATATTCAAGTATGTAATATAGGAGGATCTGCTCGCGCAAACGATGGAGTTCTTGTGATTAGCGCATGTCGAAGGAAGGTCCGAGGCCAAGGAGCATGCACATGCGTTGGCATCTCACGCGACTGTTCGAGGTGCTGTAGATGAAATCAGCATGTCTTCGAGGCGGGCTGAGCTGGGTACTATTGCATCAGCTCGCCAGGACGAAATTTACGGGAAGTTGCCGGTGTACCTGACCAAGTAGTCGCAATGGAGCAGGACAATCGGTAAGCTATATGCATCGCCCTGAACGAAAGGGTTATTGGCACAATTCAACGAATCTTGAGTAGCATAACATGTCGTTGTTTCAACACTCGCTCTAGCCCATACGAGAAGTGCACCGACCATTCAAGCACACACGTGGAGTGGTCCGTCAAATCTAGATAGCATTCGTCGACTCTGTCAAGGCACAACATCAGTCGTTCTGTCTACCACGACGCCGCGAACCGTGGGAATTGCCGCGCCGTCGTCTTCATTCGTTGCCAACTTTCATCGTCAAACCCCTCTACCGCGCATAGATCGATCGAATGCTACATGGGTTTAAATGGACTTCTGGTGGTTTTGGCGCCACACCTCTGACGTAACTTCAACTCGACGCGCACAACACTTCGCCTTTTGTGAGTTTGCACGAATGCGGTCGGTCGCGTTCTTTGCGATCGCAATGCTAGCTGCTTCCACCAGCGCTGCAGAATGCGCCTCGAATGACTTGACGCCGCTCCTGGACGCTGGTATAGCGTGCATCAAAGCGGCAAACTTGGACATGGCAGCCTTGTTGAGCCGCGACACTGCCGTCATGTCCAAGATGTGCAAGCACTCTGAATGCACCACGTTCTTCTCGAAGTCCCAATCGCTCACCTGCACCGTGCAAGGCCAGCCAGCGTCGCTCGCTGCTCAAGCCTGTATCATCAGCACTGCACGTCAACCAACTCTTCCTCTCACAAACGTCGTTGTGGTCGCCGCGGCGTACGCTGCGTTGTTCCTGTAGCCAGCACCGCTCTGTTTCAATTGCAGTAAGAAAGACATTGTTTCGGTGTAGTGGTTTCGCATACCGGTTTCGCGGTGCGACGGCTATTTCGGCCTGCCGGTTCTGTCGCCCCAGCCCACGCCACGCGGCGCACGGTCACGTCCACATGAAGGGCGGAGACCCAGTCTTGGAGCCGAGGGTGGTACAGGTGGAGGCCCAAGTGCCGTTGCTGCTTCCCCCGGCTCCAGAGACAACAGCGTCACATTCACCGCCCCTGGTCGTTCCCGGCCGGCAGCGCCGCATGCTGGCGCAACTCAAATCCAGTCCAAGTATGTCGCACATAACTCGCCTGCGCGCCTCGATCGCCAACATCATGAGCCTCCGCGGCGCCATCAAGGCATACTTCAAACACGAACTTTTACGGCAGTCCAAGGTCGACTCGGATGTACGTACTTGCATGACCATCTTCAAGAGTCCTCGTTTGTTCACTTAGTTCCAAACGATTGCGCTGGGATGTCTGCGCAAATCCCACCCGTTGCGACGACTGTGCATCGTTGTTGTATCGTGGGCCTGGTTTGACCGATTCATCACGCTGTGCGTCCTCCTCAATACGCTCATGCTCGGGTTTGTCGACTACACGGATCCGTGGGCCGAAGGGCCAAACCCCACGAAGCCTGCAAACCGCATCGTGGACGCCGTTAGCACGGTCAGCCTTGGTATCTTTGTGTCGGAAGTGATCCTGAAGATCATCGCGCATGGACTCGTATGGGGACCTCACAGCTACTTCTCGGACGGGTGGAATCGCCTCGACTTTGTCATTGTTCTGTCGGGGTACGATCTCGCTGGCATCGAGAAATATCGTCACGTGGCTCTGTCTAGAATGTTATCGTGGGTGCATTTGGGCGGTAAAGTTGGGAGCATTCGCGTCCTGCGTGTGCTGCGGCCGCTTCGCACGCTGCATTCATTGCCAGGTTCCATTCGCCCCCTCCCATGATTCGTCTGAGGTGTTTTCGCTAGGTTTGCGTGTGCTCACGACAGCGCTTCTCGCGAGCTTGCCGGCCCTCGGCAACGTCGCGATCTTGCTATCGTTCATCTATCTTGTGTTTGCCATCCTCGGGATGGAGCTCTGGCGGGGGTTGTTCAACCACCGATGCCGCCTCACACCGTTCCCCGTGCAGCTGCCGTTCAACGCGTCCAACGCACCCAACGCAACAGCATATCCCCCGGACGCTAGCTACATCGCCGCCGTGGTCGCGAATCCGATCGCGTACGCGTGCAACTTGTCGTCCACGGGGACGTTGATGCCGCTCAACGAGACATGGGTCTCGCCGCTCGACTGCTTCTGGCCTGTCGACCCATCCGAAGTCAACTCGGTGTTGTGCAGCCCGTACGTTGAAACGGGGCGGCAGTGTCGCCCAGGGCTCACATGTGGATCAAACTTCGACTCGTTTGGAAATCCCCGCTTTGCCGACATCGTTTTCAACGGGACGTTCGTTCTGTCACTGTCCCAGTACGACATGCTTGACGGCAGACTCAACTACGGCTTCACAACGTTCGACAACGTGTGGAGCGCGTTTGTGGTGATTTTGCAGACCGTGACCGCGTCGGGGTGGATGGTGCTCACTCAAATGGTACGTTGGACCCGTTCGCGCGCCGTCTAACGAACGGTAGACCCAGCAAGCCGGGGGGCATGTCGGCGGCGCGCTCTACTTCAACGCGCTTCTGTTCATCGGGATGTGCTTCCTCCTGCAGCTCAACATGGCCGTGCTGTACTCTGAATTTGTGAAAGCAAAAGACGAACAGACTCTACAGACCAACGTGTACGGACATCTCGACGTTCGTGTGACGACATCGCTCCCTGACACACTTGTTTCGACACCAGGAAGCGGCGGCGATCGGCCATGTCCAACTTTATCCATGCCGCGACGAGGAAGCACCTTGAAATGGTCATGTCGTCGTATTCGTCCCAGCTCAACGCCACCACGCGTCGCCGGATCAAGCGCGTGCGGCGGTGGATGCGGCAGCTCGCCCGGATGCCACTTTTTCAACGGACAGGAATCGTTGTGACAGTGCTAAACATCGTCACCCTGGCGTCGGATCACCATCCGATGGAGCCACGATTCAGCGCGACGGCACAGATGCTCAACTTTGCGTTCATGTGCTTTTTTGCGGTCGAAGTCGGCATCAAGATGGTCGGCTTAGGACCGACTCTGTACTGGTCGTACGTCCTTCTCGACATCGCATCGACGTCATCGATCCACTGTATGGATTGAAATCGTAGGGACTTGTTCAACCGGTTCGACTTGGTCACTGTGTTGTTGGGAATCGCTGAGATCTCGTTGAGCCCACCCGCAATCTTGAAAGGCGCCAAGGGGGGGTCGTCCGCGAGCTTTATCACGGCCCTTCGAGCGTCCAGGGCCATCAAACTAACACGGGCGTGGAAGTCTCTGCACAAGTTGATGCTGGCCATCGGGGCCGCCATGGGCGAGATTCTCAACTTTATGTTTTTCCTCGTCTTGTTTCTGTTTGTCGCGAGCTTGCTGGGCATGGAGGTGCGTTGGGTCGACAGCACGCCCCCGCCCTCACCAAAACATCGTAGCTGTTTGCGACGAAATTCCAGTTTGACGGGGCAAACAACCCCCTCCCATTCAACACGACCAACCCGTCCGCGCGCCTGCACCGGTCCAACTTTGATAGCATCGAGTGGGCGTTCTTCACGGTGTTTCAAATTGTCACGTACGACGAGTTTCCGTCAGTCATGTACGACGGGTGGATGGTGGCGGGGTGGATCGCCCCGCTCTACATTGCGTTCATCATCGTAATCGGGACGTGGATCGTCATGAACATGTTCTCGGCCATTCTCGTTGAGAGCGTCCTCGTCGATGCCGACGACAGTATCACGTACGACATTGACGACGCCGTCAGCATGGACTACAGCGACGACGGCAGCGACGATGACAGCGACAACTCGACGTCCGACCGCAGCAGCGGACGCCATCTCGACAAGAACCCAACCGTGAAAGGTACATCTATTGCCAAGACGACGCGCCCCCTGTTCACCGGCCCTTCCCGCATCCGCGCCCTCCGCCGCGCGTTTCGCCGGTATATCCACCACGCATCGCAATCGTCGTCGGCGCCGTCGGCAGCGACTCAACAGTCGAGCTCGACCACGTACCATCCTCCCATCGAGCGAAAAAGCCTTGGTCTGTTTGCCCCGAGCCACCCCCTCCGTCGAATGTGCATGTGGCTGCTCCAACGCCCCGAGTTCACATGGGTCACGACCGTCGCGATCGCCACGAGCTGCTTGTCCACTGCGATGGACTCCCCCTTGTACGATCACTCCCACGGCGTCGGGCTCGCGCTGGAGCTAGCGAACCGAGTGTTTGCCGTGTTCTTTTCGTTTGAAATGGCCATCAATGTCGTCGCGCGAGGACTCCTCCACGGCCACGACGCGTACTTGCGAGATCCGTGGAGTCTTCTCGACGGCTTCATCGTTGTTGTGTCGATCCTGCCAATGTTCGTGGACGACGTCGACGGCTTGGCGGGGCTTCGTGCGCTGCGTCCAGCGCGCGCCCTCCGACCTCTCCGCGTCATCAACAAGCTTCCCCAACTCAAAATCGTCATCAACGTGCTTGTCCGCTGCATTCCAGACATCGGCCGTGCCCTTCTCTTCTTTGCGTTCATGCTCGTGATGTTTGGCATCATGAGCGTGATGCTGTTCAAAGGCGCGCTGTCGTCGTGCTCGCTGTCGCCGTACAACTATGGCACGGCCGACGCGTCGATCACGCCCCCGCCGTGGTTTCCGCCAGCGTACGCAGGACCGTACCGCAAAGCGGACCTCCGCAGCATCGACATCATGACATATCCCCAAGCGTGGGACGCTTTGTCTCCGACGCACCAGGCCGTTCTTGCACCTGTTTGGAACAAGACAGGGTGCGGCCCATTTCCCGACGATGTTGCGCCGTCGTCCAAGGACATGTGCCTGTGCTTTGCATCGACGCACAACACGTCGTGGATGCCGTTGGTCCCCCAGCGCTTTGACAACATCTTCGAGTCGGTCGGGGCGCTGTACGAGCTGACCACGATGGAAGGATGGGCATCCGTGGCGATTGCCACGATCGACGCTGTCGGGCCAGACATGCAACCGATCGCCAACAACCGGCCCGTCCTCATGGTGTACTGGTGGATCTTTATGATTACATGTGCCTTCTTCACGACCAACTTGTTTATCGGGGTCCTGTGCGAAAGCTTTGTCCGGGAAAACTACGGCGCCCTCGTCACGGACGAACAAGTCGCGTGGATCAAGATGCAGCGCCGAGTCATGACGCTGTCGCCGCACGTGCTGCGGCCGGTGCCCCGCCATCCGTGGCGAAAGTGGTGCTACCGCGTCGTGGGCCACCGCTACTTTGACACGATCATGACTGGCGCGACTTTGTTGAACACAGCCCTCATGGCGAGCCAAACGTATGGCCAAAGCGAGCGCGTGTGCCAGATCCTCGCCAACGTGTACGTGGTCTTGTCCGGAGTGTTCGCCGTCGAAGCAGCCGTCAAGTTTAGTGCGTGGGGGGGGCACTACTTTGACAATTGGTGGCACCGGATGGACTTTTGCGTCGCTGTGCTCACATGGCTCAGCATCGCGGTCGCGACGCTTGGCCATGTCGACATGGGCGTCGCTGACAGCCTCGTTCGCGTCGCACGCGTGTCCCGGACGCTTCGGCTCATTCGGCAAACCGAGTCGCTCAAAGTCCTGTTCGACACGCTGACAGTGTCGTTGCCGGCCGTGGCAAACGTGACGTCGCTGCTGCTCTTGTTCTACTACATTTATGCGGCCGTGGCCGTGCAGCTGTTTGCGACCGTCGCGCTCAACCACGACCAAGTGACCGAGTTTCAAAACTTTCAAACGTTTTGGGTCGCATTCCAGACGCTGATCGGGTTCTCGACGGGCGAGAACTGGGACACGTTCCTGTGGCAGGTCTACATGACCGCGCCATCGACAAACCCCCAGTGCGAATCGCGCGAGTTCGACCCGACCATGTGCGGGTTCCACACGCACGACGGCTGCCGTCCCCTCGACGGATGCGGCTCGTGGGCGATCATCCCGTTCATGTACTCGTTCTTCCTCATGCTCGGGTACATTGGGATCAACTTGTTTTCGGGCATCGTGGTCGACGCGATCGGGGACTCGATCGAGTCGTGCCCCGTGAACGGCCACTCGCTGGCCGAATTCGCCGACCTCTGGGCGACGTACGACCCGACAGCGTCCGGGCTCATGACGGTGGACGAGTTTACCGACTTCTTGATGGAGCTGTCGCCACCATTTGGGTTTCATGGCGTCGATGGGATGACGAGGAAGCGCGTGGTTGTAGTCATCGGTACGCGGGACGAGATGCCGAGCGAGCTCTAGCTTTACAACACTCTCGATGTAGGCGAGCTCAACATTCCGCTGTACGACGAACAGTTGGTGCATTTCAAAGACGTTCCACGGGCCCTCGTCCAGCGCATCATGGGAGAGGTAGGTTTTGAAAAGCGGGGAATGGAATGTCATGGCGCGGGGAATGTCAGGGGAAGCGTGAAAAGGTGATCGAGATCGGCCGCGTCCTGGACGATCTGGGTGTAAACAAGCAACTGGACGACTTGTGGACCAAGCAGCGCGGCGCGAAGGACAAAGTGGACGTGCGGTCCAGAGCGTGGAGTCCGTCGGCTGTGTTTGCCGCCAAGTATGTGTTGGCGCGGTTTGTCCGAAACAAGCGCGCGAGAATCGCCCGCGAGGCGCACGCGCAAAAGGTGGTCGCCACAGACGCCGAGGAACGTGAAACAGCGTGTCCGGTGCCAAGTGCACCACATGAGCCAGCGGGGACGCCAGACCGGTCGGGCGATGCTGTCGTACCGTCTTCCAGCAGTCGACCGTCGTCGTTGCTTCGGATGTGGCCGAGCAAGCCAAGCCATAGCGACAACGGATCCAAACTACGTTTGGAACCACTTAAGCATACGAGTGGACGGTCCAAGGCGCACCTTGTCGTCCCAGTCACGGACGATACGGGGCCAAGATAGTGAAGATCTCGCTTCTTCAAGTTGTCCACTGCATGTGTGCTGATCAACGGCATGTGCACAAGTGTGCTGGCCATCCCCGAAGAGCTACATGAACTTTATTGTTCCAGATCCAAATCGTCCTAAAGTGTAAATTGGCTCGTGCAGTCTAGATCGCACCAGCGCATCGGCAATTCACGAGTTGCAACGTTCCGTCCATCTATGTGCATGTAGTAGAGTGTCGAGGATGGACCAGAGTGCTTGAGCTCTAGACAGACAACCGAGTGGTCGACTGCGTTGTGACGATGTTGCACGCAACTCGAGTAACCAAGACCAAGGTGCGGGCGTGGCCAGGTGACGTGCTAGACTTCCCTGCTTCCCGCTGCATATTCATTGGACCACATCGCATGCACCCCATCGACTTCATCGCCAGCCCCCACCAGTAGCACCCACTGCCGCTAGAGCGAGGCGCTGGCCGACTCATGTGGGTGACGCCTCAACTTGTCTAAAGGCATCGCGCACGTCAGACGTAGACTCGTTTGATTGGCTCGTTTTCACGTATCCGGACAGGCACATTCGTTGTCGACGGCATTTTGGAGGTGAAAATCTTGCCGCCGCCTCGATGCATCTACGAGCTGCCGGTGTCGGTCGAAGGTCGCCGGGCGCGACACGCCGCCAAGTGCATGCGACCGCGGCCGCCATGTCGTCTCCCTTGTCTCGCGACGACATCTCGGCGATGGCGAAAACCTCCCCAATGCCGCTGACCCTTCAACAAATGAAAACGTTTGCGACGAACGGCCCGGAACTCCGCCTGAAAGCGTCGGCTTTTCTGCACAACGAGCTCCAGGTTCGCTTTGCAAGGTAGAATGTGACCGTATCGCATGGTATTGCCGCTGAACGCGAGCGTAGAGCGGTCGTGGAACTGTCGGAACTTCCACTTGGACTGAACGAAACCCCTCCGGTCAAAATGGCCATCGCCAACTACACAATGTTATTGCACGATCTGGCGGCGATGAAAACACCGACCACATATGTACTCGACATGCGGAGCAGGTTCCTTTCATGTTTCTACGTCGATCGATTGCTAGGAAGACGACGCGATCTTTACCGCGCGCATCACGCAGATGAAGCAGCAGGGGTCGAACTTAGTTCCGATGATCTGCGGCGGGCTGCACGCGATCAAGGCCACGCCTCGTGTGAAGAACGCTCTACGTCTTCAAGATGTGCAAGTACGAACGATTCGTTGAGCGGGAGGGTTGCTCTGACTCGGACTGTGCGGTGACCACCAGGACGACTTAAACACCCGCCTGGACACATTCTTTCTGTCGCGCATCGGGATTCGCATGCTCATCGGCCAGCACTCCAAGTAAGACTCGCAACAATTGACGTTCGTTTTGGTTGTACCTCCATGAGCTTGTATTCCCTGCAACGCACGAGCTGTCGTCGTGCTTTAGCCCGTCTGACCTGCCACTTCTTCGGCACGCCATAGAGTCGGCGGCCGCGTCAAGCTCACAAACGTCCAAGATATCGTGAACGAAGCAGTGAGTCGAGCAAGTGCGCTATGCGACACCTACTGCGGGCCGCCGCCGCCAGTCGTTGTCCGCGTCGCTAAAAACGGCAACGCGCCGTTCATGTATGTGCGGTCGCACCTCCACCACATGGTACGGCGAATTGTGTTTACTTTTTGATGTCACTGGTACGACGTTGTTGTGTTGATGGTCGGTAGGTGTTTGAGTTGCTCAAAAACTCGATGCGAGCCACTGTTGAGCGCCACGCACGCCTTCGAAGCTCGGACGGCCTGCCCAAGTGCCCGCTGCATCCACGACCGCGCATGAACCATCACAGCCCCCTTCTTGGGTTCGTTATCCCTGATGTAAGTCGTCCGCGAGGCGTCATCTTGGGCTTTTCCTGGCCGCGTGTTGGACTGAGTAACTCGTCTAGCTGGACACGATTGATGGCGTGACGATCTTTCCACCTGCCGGTGCTGCGGGGTACAGCGAATCGATCTCGTTCCGTGGCCTGTGATCAAATTTTACGTCTAGCTCTGCGCTTCCCCCCATTACAGTCGTGATATCCCAAGGCGCGGAAGGTGCGATGCCGCGCTGCAACTGCGTCGGTGGACGCCATGGCGTCCAACGTTTCTGACAGAAATGGATGTGTGGGTTGCGAATCGACCGCTCACGAACGACATGTCGTCTAGACTTGACAATCAAGATCTCGGACGAAGGCGGCGGCGTCCCGCGCAGCGAATGGCGCAACCTGTGGCAGTACACGTATACGACGGCGGACGTGGTCGACCCGGCCGTGTTCAAGGGGGAAGTGAATTTTCGTGATCATTTTTGTGGCGGCGGGTATGGTCTTCCGATCTCGCGCCTCTTTGCCAGGTACTTTGGCGGCGAGGTCACGTTCCTGTCGTTGGAAGGGTACGGGTCGTCTGCGTTCATCCAAGCCCATCGTCTCGGCAAGCAAGCCGAGCTCGTCCCTGGCCATACCAACTTTACGCTGCAGCCCCTCACGTTTTGAATCGATCGTTCGTTGTTGTCGACCCATGGATCGAGGTCGTTGTGGAATACACCAAGGGGACGCCATGTGACGATCGGCACAAACGAGAAAAGAATGGGACAGTGGTGGCGCTGTCATGTGCATGGAAGCATGGCGTCAGAGGCAGTAGTGCTCGACGGCTTCAGCATCGTCATCATGATGGACCGTGGATGTTACAATCCCTGGCGCATCGTGCGTGCCGCTGGATATCCATTCCTGTGTGTAAACCAACATGGGCTCATCCAAGCAGCACAGCGTTCCATCTCGATCAGGTTGAGCAGACGAGAAACGACAAGCAGCCAGCGCGCACAACGTGTTTGACATGGATGGCCCATGACCGTCGCGGAGCATGGTCATGGACCTCGCGCACGTGGACCTGGAGCAGTAGAAGGATCGACGACAGTGTATTACGACGGAGAACGACGTGCCATCTACGTTTGCACGGACGCCTTGATCAAGTGCTCCATAAACACTTTCAAACTAACGTCGTCGGTGAAAATGACTTCGCCCTGGCCATCCCCCGACATGTGCGTCGTGCTCGGGTTTAGTTTCGCCATGAGGAATCGCGACTGACTCTTGTGTTGGTCGCACACGACGAAGCGAGGGACAGGGAAGCGAGAGTCCATGATGAGCTGCGCGTCGGCCTGGGGGGCTTCCAGGAGGTTCTTGAAATGGGCATGGTCGGGATGTTCGTGGTACTTTTGGTCCCGCCAGCTCGCAATCATTTCACCGTGAAACACGACGACGTAAAAGAACGAATCGAGGAGCAAGATCGTGTCGGCGCGGACAGAGCTCGAGTCAAGGAGAGCGGGGGTCGGCGGGCCCTGGAACGAGTACGACAGGAGCGACGGCTGGATCATCACGAGCGAGTTGGTCGTGCTTTCCCGGAGGAGGCAATGCCGGTACGTCGAGCTTTCGTCGGGCGAGTACCCAAACACTTGAAGGAACTGCGACCGCCGGAGGTGAAACATAAATTGCGGGTAGATGGAGAATTCCCGCGACAATCGAAACGACGACGGGTCGTCCTTGCGGTAGTCGGCGAAGCGAGCCGCGAGGCGGATCAAAGACCGATCGATCCATCGCATGATGTCATTGGTCTCGTCGCCGCGCTCGGATCGAAACACCGCGAGGCGCGTCATGAGCACGGCCGCCGCTTCCTGGTCGAAGCTTCGCTTCAGCGACTCGACGTCGTTCGGGTCGGTTGTCCACGGCCCGCAAATCGTCGTGACACGTGTTCGGTACTTGCCGCTCGAGTGCTGATACCGCGTGATCAACTGGATGTACCGGCCCTTGCCGGGAGCAATGGCACCTTGGTTGGTCACGTCAAAGTAGATGGCGATTGCTGTTTGCGGGTCTAGCCCGCCCAAGCTCCACGTGTTGGTGCCGCCGACGCCAATCTCAGTTTCACTGATGTTCTTGGCCGGCACCGCGGCATTCGTCTTCTTTTGAGCCGCGACGGGGCCGATTGCCCCCGACACTTTGAACTCCCGGGACGTGAGGACTTCGAGCGACGCCGCAAACGCCATCGTCAAGTGATCACGGTCCGACTCGGCCGCTTCCTCCGAGAAGCGCGAGAACATGCGGCGAAAGCTTTCCTTGAACACCGACTGGCCAAACGAATCCGCTAGCACGATCACGCCGCCCGTCTTTGCCACGCACACCTTCATTTCCATCACCCCACTCTGATCGAGCGAACATGCAAACACGTCTACGACGTGGGCCGCGGCTACGCAACGATCGGCGAGACCCGTGTAGTGCTCAATGGCTTTGGCGCTCAATGGCGCATTGCCCTTTTGCAAGTCCGTGTGCGATCGAATGTCTTCGGTGCGCTCGCGGTTTACAATAGCGCCGGGGCCTGTCGTCGCAGGCCCGCCCACAAACAGCATGATGCGAGCGCCTTGGCCACGGAAGGTGGACTCCAGCAAACCCACCGACACGGACAGAGCAACGCCGGTCGCTCGTTGGGGACGGTGGCCGGCATTTACTGGCCACGGGTCACGCTGGAGGTCGCGGAGGATATTGTCCAGCGTGAAGCCGCATTCACCGAGGGGAAGCAAGAAGCGGGCGGCAGGTTGGTTGGGCTGCGGCTGCTGGCCCGGCTGGGTCGTCGCAGCCGTGGGCTGGCGGGTCGGAGCGAGGCCGAGCATGTCTTGGACTTGCTGGGCAGTGAAGTCCTTGTTGCCACGGAACACGTGGGACTTGGGGCACTCGGCAAACCCGAGTTCGTGGACGTGCACCATCGTTCCGAACGTGATAAAGCCGACGAGTGCCTCGTCCGGAAGCAAGTTGAGCGTCTGCTGGATCGAGTCCTTTAGTTCCTCGAGCTCATCTTCCGCAACACACGTGTCCAGGCAAAACACAAAGATGGGCGGTCCAGCTTGGCGCTGCGGCAGCTCGTACTCCAGCGTTGTGAAGGACGGAATGAGTTCCGCGGGCAGGTTCTGCTCGGAAATATGCTCAGCGTAGTGAGGGGGAAAGTGGTTGCGCGTAATACAGAATGGACACACCCACAGCTTGGACAAGAAGTCCACATGAGCGAACGGGTTCAAAATCGCGGCACAGCTCTTGCAATGGACTGGGTCGTACTCGACGGCAGCCGGCATGCCCTCGATGGGCTTTAGGGGCTGGTAGATGCATCCCATGGGCACGACAGCGCGCGTCTGCTCCAAAGGCGTGCTGGGCCAGTTGTTCCATGAGAATCGGATCCCGTCTTTCGCTTCAAGAGCTTCAATGTCCCAGGTGGCGGGCGCCACCACGTTGTGCTGGGAGGTAGCCCCGGCAGACGCTTGCTGGTCATAGCCTGGCTGGGCACCATAAGCAGGTTGAGCACCGTAGCCTTGTTGGGCGTATTGTTGTTGTGGCGCTTGGCCATACTGTCCTTGCTGACCGTACTGATCATATTGCGGCTGCTGGCCGTATTGTTGTTGCGGTTGGACGTATTGCTGCTGCTGTTGCGCATATTGCTGCTGCTGGTCGTACTGAGGCTGTTGGCCGTACTGAGGCTGCTGTTGGCCGTACTGAGGCTGCTGTTGGCCGTACTGGCCTTGCTGGCCATAGCCCGCGGCGGGGTACCCTTGCGGCTGCTGCATCGTCCTTGTCCGAATGGAACAATCAGGGGCGGTGGCGTCAGTTTGGTCGTGGCTCGCCATGATTGGTTAAAATACATATATTCGGACCAATCAAGGAACAACAAGGCGTTTTATCAGGTCGTCAACAGATAATCCATCCGACATCGTATCCGGACGCGATCTTCAGACAAAGGAGGTTCTTGATGATGACTTGGAATGCGCTTGTACTGACGGCACTGGCGGTCCATGGAACGGGTGTACAAGCCTCGGACAGCAATCCGTGCGCAATGGACTTTGAAAGGTCCAATGCAGCGTTGAATTTAATCCACGTGTGCTCGTTGAATACCACGCAGCCGCGCATCCTGTGCTTTGTCAACACGATCTCTCCAAACCATGACACAAAGGCGCGCACGATCAAGGAAACGTGGGGCAAGCGGTGTGATAAGCTTGTGTTCATGAGCAACGTAACCGACGACGCGCTGGGGGCAGTCGCCATCGATCACGTGCCGTCGGACCACAACCACTTGTGGCAAAAGCACAAGGCGAGCATCGAGTATATATGGGACAGGTACCGCCACGAATTCGAATGGTTTTACAAAGCCGACGACGATGCGTACGTGATCATGGAGAACCTGCGGGCGTACCTGCGGAGCCCCGAGATTGTCATGCAGCAAGACGTGGTGCCGCTTCAATTGGGTCACCGATTTCGATTGACCGACGACCTGATTGAATACTACGTTGGCGACAGGCTTCTGCTAGACGCGTACCAGCAGCGATGGCCACATTGGTAGGTCATACGGTCATGTATCGCTTGGCTGATTGTTTTGCTGCGACTGCAGGTGGGTGTTCAACTCTGGAGGGCCAGGTGTCGCCATGAATAGTCTGTTCATGCAGCTGGCCGTCCAGTTGTTTCCGCAGTGGACATGCTTGAGAGACGAACACAGCCAAATGCTTCCAGACGATGCTGCGATTGCGTTTTGCATGGCGTGGTACGACGTATTTCCTCCAAATACAAGGGATCTGCGCGGTCGGGAACGATGGCATGCCAACCATCCGCGTACGATCCAGCAAGCCGAGGGTTATGTGGTTCATATGTCGGTCTCGTCTAGATGGCGTGTACTTTACAGATCCGTCGGAGTACCCCGACGACATTTGGTCCGTGGCTGCAGTCGACTCAACGCAGAACTGAAGGGTCGTCGCTTAGGTTCAACCAGTACCACAGAGGCATCGGTGGCATCCAGTGGAAAGACGACTGCTGTGCCCCCGACAGCATTGCCTTTCACTACGTTAGCCCTGACTACATGCTCCATATCGAACGACAATTGTATACGTGTCGAGCAAGCGGCGCCACCAGCCTGCGACAAGCATCCATGCCAGTCGGCGACCACGGCCCCATTGCCCAAGATGTTGTATTTAGCTGATTGGGCTACTGAACAAGAACGCCTCGTTGCCACCTCAAGCTTGCTTAGAATTGCCTCGGATTGATAGTCTGTGATGTTTTCATGTCCGATCAAGGGTAGCCGTCTTCGATGGCATGTCCTGACCAGTGAAGTGATGGACACGCCATTCCATTCGATAATGTCGAACTCATTTCATCTCTTAAGCGCGCAAACACACACTTGACCCCTCCTGTTGTGGCTAGCACACAAACGTATGAATGAGAAATGCTGACACGCACTGGTTGCCAAAGCGCTCGGGAATAGATTGAAGCATGACCGACGAGTTGTCGTGCGCGGTGTCGTCGGCAAGTAAAACAACCCACAGCACCCTTGGGCAATCCATCAGTGGAAATGTACCGCGCTCACGCAAGTCAGATCACTGAGATCCGAAAACAAGAACTCGGTGACAAAGGCCATCGATTGGGATGATTGCTATAGCGTTTTTGTTTACTCCCAGCGAGGATGTAGGGGTGCTGAAGGGTGAGCTTCAAGCTCGTCTTGTACCTGCAAAGAAGAACAGGAGAAAGGAATAGGAGGCACCCGTGAGGAACATCATGCTCTACTGGATGAGTTGGGGATCGATCGCCTTGAGGCTGCGATGACTTTTTGTTGGAAGAGTCCGGATACAATACCACGATTGAATGGACTTATCCGGTGGCATTCCAAACGATCATCGTCGCTTTGGCTCAGATGCCATGCTGACCGTCCGAATTGTCGCGACGGGCGCCATGACACGCATGGACGAGGCGGTGGACTGACATAATGCAGCCAGGAAGCAATTCCGCCGCCACCAGTGTGCGCTCAACCGTTGCTTGCAACGCAGGTTCGGCAAGGTAAGTGGGGAAAGGAGTTGCATGCTGACTGTCACCAACGAAGTGGGCATACGCGGCGTCAGCAACTCCGAGCAAGGTCTATGCACAGTCTGTTTGAGCTGAGCAACAATTGTAATGACAATACCCAACGATTTTTGAAGCGTGGAAGGATTCATGAACGAGATACAGTTGTCAAGGTTCGTCTCTGCCCTCACCGTCGTGGTGCGATGACGGTACGTATGTGGTACAATTCGCTGTGGTCTTCGATATCTTGCGCCTGCGCCTCTGAACGGCACTGGCGCCGGTAGTTATGGTCGAGATCCCACCACGACCGGCACCCGTCGCAGTCGTTACATGTGGCGCACGTGGCGTTTGAAATTTTGATCGGGTGGCGGTTACGTCATGCACACTAATTCATGGACGCCATCCGACGGGCGCAGGAACTTGATATATGTATGCAAGCACCTACAAATAGTGTGGTACTCCTTGGCGATCTGCTTGAAACGGTTGGCCGGACGGCGGTTTCACCACCTTTCAGTTGCAGGATTGGCAGCTATGTTTGGACAGAGCGCATGGGGTTGGGAGATGGACGGCACCTGGCCTGACTTTGGCATTTTCCAGACGATCGCCACACTCACACAGTTGAAGCCATGCACGACCACGACGCCATGAACCGACGCCACGTGGAGTACCCCACCGCCCCGACCAGCGCCCTGCTCAACGTGCACAACGTGCGGAGAGTGCTGGCCGACACCAAGATCCCCGACGAGTGGCGATGCCGGTACAAAACAGGCAAATGCAACTACCCGCGTGCGCTCAAAACCAACAAAAAGGACGGCACGGACGCCATGTTATTGCTGTGCGAGCGCCACCGGCGACTCCAAAACAAGACGAAAAAGCGCAGCGACACCAAGTACAAAGCCGACCGGGCAATGCTCCGTGTCGTCAAGCGGCTGCATCCCGACTTAGTCCACCACAAATCCAGCACATTGCGTTCGAACGGTCAGTGTCCAGCCTCGCCGTCGTCGTCGCTATCATCCATGTCGACGGATTCGCTCCCAGTGCAGTCGACCACCTCGTGCAGTGCCTCAACGCCGCCGTCGGTGCTTTTTTCTCCGTCCGAGCTAGACATGCTAGCGTTCTATCTCTTATGATGTAGCTTCCAGTGTTTCATTCGTCCACCCACGTGAATCCCCCCATCGACCATGCACCAAGCTCCGGACGGCGTTATCGGAAATTTACACGATAGAGCACACACCGGTTTTGTGGACGCCGTGTTGTCGTTTGAGCTACGATTCGCATCTGGGGACGCTATGCGTACTGCTCCATGAGCGGGAGACGCTTGACAATCGGCGGCTGCTCCACTTGACGCAGCAGCTTGAAGATACCCGTGCCCACGGCGATGGGAATCCCCATGATGATGCATTCGCTGACGCCGACGATCGCGTCTGTTCGCGAGTGAACCTACACACACCAACATGACATCGCGATGGCCGTCGCATGGCGCGTACCGCCGCGTCGAACAAGTGATCTGTCGTTTTCTCGAACGAGGCCAACATCAACACGCTTTCCTTCATCTTGGCAATGCCAAACCGTGTGATTCCGAGGACTTCGCCCTTGAACGTCATGATGTCCGAGAGCAGCATCAAGTGCCGCCGGTCGATCCCGATGCCGTACGCACTCATGATATAACTGACTTCGGACGCGATCAAGAAGCGGGCGGCTTCGATCCCGAGGGTTTTCTCAACTTCGATGATGTGATTCGACGTCGTGTGGAGGCCGTCGACGCCAGGAATGCCCATCACGTCGCTGAGGCCGTACCCTTCGACAAGCAAGTGCAGCTTCTTGTCCTTGCCTTCTTCGTAGTTGATGACAGCGCTAAGTAGATGGAAACGATTGCGTCAGGCGCTCCATTGCGTGGCTGTCGCGCTCGCACGTACCGATTCACGGTGGGAATTCCCTGGACGATCACTTTCGGCAACGCCGCCTTCAACGACTGCATGGCAAAATACATGCTCGACCGAGAATCCATTGCCGATTTGTATTTCGCCGGCGCCAGGATGCGCAGTTTGTCCGGGCGGCGGGCGTTCAGTAGCACGTGCGGCTCCTTGAGCAGTTTGACGATGCTGCGGGGCGGCATGCCCACAGCGCCGAGAATGGCCTGGCGCACCGTGCGTGCATCGATGGTGAGCTGCAGCGCATCGATTGCTTGCATGTCGAGCTTGACGGACAAGTACGCTTGATCCCTTGCAAACACTTGCTTGATGTGGACGGCGACTTCTCCCAGCGTCGTCTTTTCAATGCGCCCTTTGACAATCTACCACACACAGGGTCGATTCCGACAATCCGGACGAGAACAGGCCGTTGTACCCGCGCACTGCGCTCATCGTCTGCGCACACCAACGCGGCCGTGATGATTGGCGTCGAGATGTTCTTGCCAGCATTGATGATTTCTTTGAGGCGCGGCACACCCAACGTCACGTTCATGGATGCAACTCCAGCAAAGTGAAATGTTTTGAGCGTCATTTGCGTCCCCGGCTCGGAAATCGACTGCGCGCCAATTGCGCCCACGGCCTCGCCAGGCTCCATCATGGCACGATGGTACTTGGTCAAACTCAACTGCAGCAACGTCTCGCACTGCAGCCGCGTCAACCGACACACGTTGTGTACGAGCAGTCTGCGCACACACCATCCATCAGCAAGTTGTTACTAAAGGGCCATATGCAAGAGGCATCCATGCATACCGCGCGGCTTCCTTTTGTTCCTTCGTTCCATGCACAGAGGCTTGCTTTTGCCACTGCGTCAACGCCGCCTCGTTCGAAAACGTGTGGTGCCACTGCGCTTGGCCGACATATGCCAAGACATCCTTTTTGTTGTCCACAGCGCCCGACGTGGACGGCGCGGTCTTCCGCGACGCAATCTTTTCCTTCTTGACGGGGGCAGCATGTCCCATGTGCTCCGACTGAAACGCCGCGCCAAGGGATTCGGAAAACGGGGTCTACAACGGTCAAGTGGATTATGACGACGACGGCGCGACGATAGATCGACGTCGCCTACCATGGATGAATCGTCCAACGGCGGCAAGTGCACACTCTTGCGAATGCCAGCCAACGTCGCCGCGGCTTTGTAAAAGAACTGTTCGACTTCGGTGAGAAACTTGCGGCCGAGTGGAAGTATCGACTGGAAGTCGGGGCGCTGGACTGCGTCGGTACCCAATTCGCGCAGCTCAAACGGCGTCAGCGCGACACCCGTGCGATCTGGCACGGTGTTCTTGACATGCACAACGAGGCGGTCAAAGTCCACAGGCCGATCGTCGCCTTCCATGAAGGCAGGGTTGAGGCCGTCGTCGCCGTACGTGAACTGCACGACGCTGCCTTCCGAGTTGCGCACGGTCGCGTCGTATTGGCAGCTCAAGTCTTCCAGTGCTTTCATCAATCGACGCGCCATGTACCCTGCATGGTCCAGTCGTGAGAGGCGACCGCGAAGGAGGCAAGCACCTTACCGGTTTCAGCGGTCTTGACAGCGGTATCGACCAGCCCTTCACGACCACCCATCGTGTGAAAGAAGAATTCGGTCGCCGTCAGCCCCGAGTAAAACGAGTTGCTGACGAACCCTTTGGCGGCAGCGTGCAACGCATACGGCAAAAAGTGCGGCAACGTCCGGTTCACAAACCCTTCGGGGGCACGTTTGCCCCCGACACTCTGCTGGCCCACGCACGCCACCATTTGCGAAATGTTGAGCGCCGACCCCTTGGACCCGCACTCGGCCATGATCTATATACACTACGCGTGATCGCCCCGTTCGCGTCAACTGCCAAACGGCGTACACGAGGGTTGTTGTGAAACGGAAGCGATCGCATGCACTCGGCCCCGGCCGTCTCACGAAGCTTCCCCAGCAGTCCGTTCAATTCGCTTTCGAGGGACTCGAGCGCATTACACCCAGGCTTGAGCTCGAGTTTGCCGCGACGGTATTGCTCGATCGTGTCGTTGGCGCGGTCGTACCCCGCGTTTAGCAGAACCGCCTTCTTCTCGTTCAAGTCATTGGACGGCGTCACATCGTCGATCCCGATCGAAAAACCTGCAAAAGCGACCAAGGACATGATGACGAGGAGCGAAGGGCGGACAGTAGCATGGCAGGCCAACGTGATCCACACTCAAGGCCCCACCACCGCCACTGGAAACTCAAAACGCATCAAACGGACCTTTAAAGTTGCCCAGCCAGCGTGCACACAACTTTGCGAGCCGGTTCATGCACCGCGCGGCTTCGGCGGGCCCGTGGTCTCGAATCAAGACGTAAAACAGCCCTTTCTTGCTGCCGTCCCCGAGCGTTTTCTTGCACAAGTTGCCACTCAGGAGCTCGCTGTTGCGAAACACGACATACCTACGGCCCGAGCACACACACACAACTCCGTCAAACCGAGTGTGTCCATCGAGACGATCGTCGGTACCCGTCCTTGTAGCACATGCTCAAGTTGGTCGTGTAGTTGCGTTCCTTGAGTTCAAAATTGACTTTGACGGGGCACTTTCGGTTGGGTCGCACGAGCAGCGAAAACACTTGCTTGCCGGTCCACAGCCGGATCGGGCACACAATCGCAGCTTCCGGTAACTCGATGTCGTCGAGTCCGTCGCCCATCAGCGTCAGCACTTGGCAAAATTGTTCGCGGTTGAAGAAAATGTTCTTCTGAGTGAGCAAGTAGGACGCGGTCAAGAAATCTTGAGTCGCCGCCACCAGCGGTTCGCCTAGCCAAACAACCATTGTCCTGGCACGCTCCCAAGCACGCGTGACATTATACAAAAGACGCGCACCGTTGCGGGATGTGATCAAGTTGTTTGGAACACACATGAGCGTCGCCGCTTCCGCGCGCGCTTCCTCGGTCTGCGGCAAGTGCATGTTCATTTCGTCGCCGTCGAAATCCGCGTTGTACGGCGAGCACACGCACTCGTTAAAGCGAAACGTTCGCCACTGGAGAACTTTCGCGCGGTGCGACCTATCCATGCGACCATGAAATCATGCGTCAAGGGACATCAAAGCAAACACAGGATGGAAACACAAGCGTCGTGCAAACGATCGGTCGCACAGAAGACGGATCGGATGCGTCAACTCACATGATGCTCATTTTGTGCAAGCTCGGTTGCCGGTTGAACAGTACAATGTCATCGTCTTCCATGTGCCGTTCGACGATGTCACCTTCTTTCAAGTCGTCCGCGAGGCTCGCCCGATCGCCATACATGAGATTTTTCGTGTATTTCTGGCCTACGAAACACCACTCGCATTAGTAGCTGCACAACGTCGACCGCTGGAAAAATACCTTCAATGCGGATCGAGTTGGCCCCCGGGTGAACTGCAGGTCCATTGATCACGCGCTGGCGCAGCTTGGCAATGTTGTATCGCGTCACCTTTTCTGGATACGTCATGGTTTTGGCGACCTAGTGGCTTGCTTGAGCAATTTCGTTCTCTGCATGAATTCGAAAGCGTACGTGCTCAGGGACCCCCACTTGGTCGATGCGGAGGTTTGGATCGGGGGAAATGACCGTGCGCGCAGAGAAATCCACGCGCTTGCCACTCAAGTTGCCACGGAAACGGCCTTGTTTGCCTGCACAAAAATGCGCGTGAGAAGGAAAGCAGGCAGAGCCGCGTCCGACACAACACAAACGATAGAGCAAACCTTTGAGGCGCTGGCACAACCCGCGAATGGGTTTTGGTGCCCCTTGAAGTTTGGTCAAGCCGGGGGTGTCGCCATTCATAAACTGCGCGACTTGGATTTGCAAAAAATCCCAGTCCTCCATGACCATCTTGAGCGTCGCCCCTTTCTGCAGCGCCGCTTTGAGTGCAAAGTTTACCTATGCCATCGTCCAACCGCTTGAGATGTGTAGAGCAGGTCGCCAGCCATGGTATCTCTGGTGGCGTCGTTCGCAAGGACGTCTACGTACTTGAATGATTTCTTGCAATTTGACCGTCAAGTCGTCTTCGTTGCTTCCGCTGCCCACGTCCATGGCAACACTCGGGCGAATGCAGACGGGTGGCACCAGCATCGCATTCAGAACGAGCTTCTCTGGGCGCCCAGCAAATGCATTGAGCCACAACAATGGGCAATCCTGCACACCATGTTAGCAGGGTGACACAACCACGCCTCCGGCGAAGACGTGCACCGACCTGGTCCGGGATACGCTCAAAGAGTTCTTGTACGACGACGGGACTCAGGTCCTCTTGTGCTTTGCTCAGCAATGAGTTGGTCAGGTCGGGGTTGGCCGCTTGAGCCTGTGCAAACTGGGCCACGAACACCGTTCGCATGTCGTGGGCCGACTTGGCACGGTACTTTTCATGGATGATCTTGAGCGTTGGGCTCGTGACTTTGCGCACAGTGCCGTTAATTGCGTCGCAGTGGGGACACCGAACGACCTTCTTACACAGTAAGCTGATGCGCTTCCGTGTGTTAATCTTCTTGAGCGCATCGGCGGACGGGTCTCGCATGCGACGGAGGAACGACTCACGGACGTCGCCGCCAAGCAGCACGCGACTGCAGCTCTTGCAAATGTTTTGCAGAATTTCGATCGTCGCTTTGATGTACCCGATGTGGAAAACAGGAAGTTCCAGTTGAATGTACCTACGCAACACTCCATGGGATGTTACGTCCAAGGCGACGAATGGTGTACCCGAAGTGGCCAACGCAGTCTGACAGCTTCTGATGACACGTCTCGCAGTCATCCACCTTGTTCGACACTCCCAAGCGCTTGTCCAATACACCATTCGGAGCAGGCTCGCGCGTCGGCATTAAGAAGAGGTCTCTACATCATGGATGAGCCGACAAGACTCGATTGGTTGTGGACCATGCCGTCTTACTTGGAATGGATGGGAATCTCCGACATGCGCATCATGTCGGTGGAGCTCAACAGACCAAAGTTGAGATGGCTGATCTTGGACGGGCGATCATTCTCCAGAACGAACTGCTTTACGAGCGGGTTCCGTCGCACCGCCGTCGACATCGACGACGCCGAGCTGTTCATGGTGCCAGCGCCAGATTCACCGAGTTCGAAGGATTGGTTGATACAATCCAATTGGATGAAGCCAAGAAACCAATGGACCCCCCTTCCACTTCCTGGAATTTAATTGTTAGCAAATAGATGAAACTTCAAAGTTGCAATTTATATTATTTCATGGGTCCCCCCAAACGGCGCATTGCAACCACATGCACGACCACACAGCACGGTCGAGCCTACAAGGTTGTAGCATTTACGTTCACAGGAAGGAGCAAGCTTCCACCGTTCACGGACATACTGCCATTCTGCACCTAGTCTGTTGGCATGTCGGCAGCCTCGTTCGATTTAAATGGGCCTGGGATTCATGCTGGTCCATTCCCTCACCTCCTTAGCCCACCGTTGTGATTGAAGTAGCCCACAGCCGCCAATACAGCTGGTAGGCAACGGCGCGAGCCCTGCCGCGGCGCTCACCCGAGACTGCAGTGTAGTCCCTTGATATGAGGCTCCAACTCGCTCAGCAGACAGATTGGTCGCTGGATGATGATGCGGTTGAGTTGGGCGTGCGCCGTTGTTTGCGTCGTCAATATCCGGGAAATTGGCTGTTATCCGGACTTCGCTTTTCGTGGCAGGCAAAAAGTTCGACAGTCTGCACTTGGACACCACATCCACGCCAGTGCATGCTTTGCGCTGCCACGTGAAACGCATGCTAGTCGTTCGGTCAGCCATCCACCACTCTCGCCATCCGCTCGTCCATATGCATCGTCATAGAGCATCCTTTTCCGCGGTCCGGCTGTCCATTTGCCATGCTAGTACCAGCGCGGTTAAACAGACGCAATTGCATGTCGACTTGCAGCCAGCGATTCGCGATGCTTCTGGAAGGTTTCCAGTGACGGCGTCAGGGCCACGGTTCCTTGATCTGGTCAAGTGGTGGCTCACGGCCAAAGAAGAGACCGGGCCACGTGTGCCGAAAGACGCCGCGGAACTCGATCGAAGTCTGCCAGTGTTGACACCAGATTTCACGGTTCCAATTGACGCAGGTCATGCGCGCCTGACGTGGCTAGGACATGCGTCCGTGCTGCTGGAAGTTCCCGTGCCTGGCCGCGACCGACCCTTCGTCATACTCACCGATCCAGTCTTCACCGACCGGTGTAGTCCGTCGCAGTACTTTGGCCCAAAGCGCTACCGTCCTGCTCCTGTACCGGTCGCGAACCTACCTCCTGTGGACATCGTGCTCATCAGCCATAACCACTACGATCACTTGGAAGAGGTGACTCTGGCCCAGCTATATGCCGTCCAGCCCAACATTTCGTACTTTACCCCGGTCGGGAATGCCAAGTGGATTGCCAGCGCGGGGGTTCCACTCGCCAACATCCACGAGCAAAATTGGTGGGACGTGTCTCCAGCGACCACAGAGACCGAAACCTTGCCCTTTGAAGTCGGATGTGTACCTGCCAACCACTGGAGCAAACGGGGATTCTTCGACCGAAACATGGCCCTCTGGGGTGGGTTTGTTGTCCGTGGGTTGGGTGGATCGTTCTACTTTGCAGGAGACACTGCGACGGGGTCGATCTTCCAAGCCATCGGACATCGGTACGGCGATCAAAGCGTGTCGGCCATTCCAATTGGCGCGTACTCCCCTCGGCATCTCTTTCGAGACCACCATTGCGACGTGGCGGAAGCGATTCAAATTCACCACCACGTCAAAAGCCGCGCGTCGATCGGGGTGCACTGGGGCACGTGGGTCCTCACCGGCGAGTACTACTTGGAGCCCAAGCAGGAACTCCATGCCCAAATGGCCGCGACGGACCGCCCGGACGCATTCACGACCGTCGACCATGGACAATCGAAACTCGTCCAGTGGGTGTTGGATGATGCATGCACTTCCTAGAGCGCGTCATTGCCGTCGACGCCTGGACCATAGACGAGTAGTGTAGTTTCAGTAATAGTAGAGTCCGATCTGGAGCAAGGTGTTCCGAGGCTTAACATGACCAAGGCGATTTCTTTCCCAGCATTGCATCCTACGTCTGGCAGAGTGTTTCGAGGCCGCCGCCGTTTTTTGCACTCGCACTCTGACTTGTCGCTGGCTCCGTTCGGTCGTTTTGGGACACACGATCGTGTCGAAGTGTGCAACAACTCAGGCGAAGACGTTTTTGCAAGCAAATCGCAGACGAGGATGCGACCGCTTCACTCGATGGCCAGGCATCGTCGCAGACCTTGCCAAGGAAACTCCACATGAACACGTTGTTGGCTCCACTCGAAGACTGCTGGTTCGCTACGCGTTTGCAAGCTGGACACGATGCATGCGCCATGCCACGATGGAAGACGTCCGTCGACAATGAACCAATTGGACAAGATGGACCAGCCGACGCCGCACAGGCCGCATGGAGTCGATTTCTTTGGGCCGGCGAGTTGCAACCATCAATCGGTGTGAGTCGACTGGTCGAGTCTAGTTGAACGGCAGACTGCAGTCGCCGCTGTCGTATCCACAAGACTCAGTAAAGCACTCGGAGTTGCATACGGAATTGCCCAGGTTAAATTGCGTGCACATGTCTTCGCAGTTTTTTGGGCACACGACAGACACGTTCAGGGAACTCGCGAGGGACGGCGACGCCTGCAAGGAATCGCAAAACGGCGTGGACGAAAGCAAGAGGCGCTGGGATGCCAACGCTTCCACGACGCGTGAGTCGGTCAAGTCAACCGTCTCGATCGGGTTCCCGTCAGCGTAGATGGTCACGCTCGGCTTGCGGAGGAGCTGCGACGGCAAGGCGCGCAGTTGGTTGCCAACGACGTGCAATGAATAGAGCGCTGGCATGTCGGCAATACCGGCGGGGATCGTGCGAATCGTGTTGAACTCCATCCCGAGTGTGATGAGGTTCGGCATGGTCAGAATTTCCTTAGGAAACGTCTGGAGGTTGCAATTCGCGAGCCACAGTGTCGACAAATCCTGCCATCGAGTCCACACGTCGGGCGGGATGGTTCCAAGGTCCGGCGCGTCCGCGATGTACATGCCGCTTCGGGAATGCGGGTGGTGCAGCGCGCGAGGGACGTGTCGCAGGTCGCTCTGAAAAATCTGGATCATTAAAACCGACTCGTTGAATGCCGCGGACGGAATATCCCAGTTGCGCAACGATGTGTTTTGGATGCGAAATGCAAACAGCCGCGGGAACTGCGCCATCGTGTCGGCCGCTATCCCGTTCGGGATTGCACATGACTTGACGAGGAGGAGTAGGACGCTTGTCCCCACCATCGACTTGTCTAGAAACCCGTCCACCGACGCCATCGAGCGATTGAATGCCGACCCGCTTGTCAAAGTGGGGCAGTTGAGCCGAACGTAGAGGCAATTGCATCCCAAGTGGTCCCATGGAGCCGTCATGCGGACACAGAACGGCGGGCAAGCATCCCGACCAAATGTGCTCACGGTTGACAACACCAGCACGACAGCCCCCCAGAGGAAGTTCACCACCAGCATAACCTTGACGATCGTCGGCTGCATCAAACACAGCCGAGAAGGCCACGAATGGACTGGCGATGATGGGAGCGGGGTCGTTGCTGTCAACGGGGCGATGGCGGCAGGCTTTTTGGTGAAGTCGGACACGTCTGGACCTCGAGGGTAGGCCGGTGTGCGCATCACGATATCGTAGTGCTGGACGTGCCGCCGCGGCATCGTTGTTCGCTGTAGGTCGCCGACGATACGCCAGAGGATGAGAAAGTTGGAGAGGTTGGGGCCGATGGAGGCAATGAGGTCAACGGGCGAGTTGACGACAAGGAAGCGGGCGACGGGGATGTTGGTCGCGAGCCAGTCGAAGCTGTTGCCGTACACTTTGGACCCAAATTTGGCCTGGAGCATCGGAACGACGTGGTAAAAGAGCGGAATGCCCGTGGACAACACGAACGAGAGCAGGCAATCGACAAAGTCCACGAGCATGCGGAGCAGCCCGGACGCGGGAAGGAAGAATAGCCACGGGGTGAACCAGCAATTGATGGTCACGCACAGCGCGTAGCCGTAGGCGATGTTGGTGTGCGCGAGCTTTTCGGCCATTTGCTCGGCCATGAACGTCTCGCACACGACTTCCAGGAAGTGCGTTGCACTCGCGTACAAGATCACCAGGGACGACGCGACCGACGCCGCTCGTTTGGGTTTGGTCCTGCCAGCACAGTGGTGGCACAGTCGAACATACGGCAGGACGTGGAGACCAGCCACCGCAAAGCTAACAATCGACGACAGCAACGGGTTCCATGCTTGGAGGAGAACAACTTCGTATGGCGTCATGGACGCCATAAGGACCCCCCGTACAGCAAAGTACATGAAACTTAGCGCATGCTGCAGCAGACACAAGACGAAGAGGGGCCGGCCGATCACAAGCGCCCACTTTACCTCCACAAAGAACGAGATCGACTTGTCAAGGAGCGTCGACCGACGCAATTGCGGGTCACGGACCGCCTCGCCCGTTTGCGCGGCCACTTTCATCACGGCGCACGTTTCTGCGACTCGGTCGTGAAACGGCCCGTTTCGCAAAGTGACCACCGTGAGCTGGACCCGTGTTGTTGTGGCCAAGACGACGCCCGACCCCGTCCGGGTGATGGACGACATGTCGTCCACGATCGTTCAGTTCATTGACCATACAGGTTCCTTCGTCGAGCATGCCGGCTCGCTTTAGCGACGTTCAATGAGTTGTGGCATGGATGTTATTCAAGTCTCTCAGAGTAGCCTGCGCTGCATTCCACACGCGCTGCCCCCCATGCAGCAGTACACACTAACACGACTTCGATGCGCCACTTGGCGCGTGGCATCAACAGCGACGACGCTTTCCACTATGTTCAGGGGGTGCGTGGGACAATCAAAACCGCAGTCGCTGCACGTCCCAACCCCACGAGGATTTTGATTTCTTTGATGGATGACCTAGACCCACGTGCCAACGGGGCCGAGGATGTGCTCGGCAAGCAACCGCACGACCATCGGTTCCAAGTTTCCGTATTTCTCCATGACGTCGTGCTTTTCAACTGCGAAATGGATATGTTGTCCTGCTACTTCCATCAACTTGCGGTCGTCGTCGCTCGTCCAGTCGGGTGGAAAGACCTTCTTGGCTTTGGCACGCTCCAAGTACCGTTGGAACTGCGGCGCACAAGGCTCGTCGCCTGCCTGTTCGCCGTACTCGCCAACCAAGTTGCCAGCGAGCACGTATTCGTCCTCGACACGCAATTGAAAGCTGACCACGAAGCGTTCATACACGCGTTCTCGTGACAGGTCAACGTGCCACTCGACAAACGGGGAAACTGGTTTGCCACACATGCGCTTGTGGGATTTCCAGTCACGCTGTTGGCATTCACGGGAGCAGTAGCGCTGCTCGCGGCACCGACTGCATTTCTTCGTTCCTTCTTGCATGCATGACGGGCGACTGCATCGTGGCGATCGTTCCGTGCCTCCTGCTCCTGTGGGTGAGAAGGCCCGCGATACTTGCAATTTCGCGGAATTTCGCTCGCAACCGAAGAAAAAAAACGAATTATTGTGTTTCCGAAATGGTCATGCAAATTCCTTGCCCTATAAAGTACTCCTAGTAGTACATAGTTACTACTAAATCACTACTAAATTCCTTTGTTCAAGTAGTAGTTGCCCCTCCATTGAGAAACCGGATAATGCTCGAATCCGTCTTGCGGCAAACAACACTAATTAGATTTCGGGACGTAATGACGCACAAGAGCGATGTTTTGGGGTCGAGGCGACGTCCGTGTTTCAATGATTTTGATCATTTCGGAGGTGGAATCGAAAGGCACCCATAAAAAGTCATGTCACATTCATACAACTATGCTGTCGACCGCTAGAATTTCGGCGTCATTGGGCCGGATGCATTGGTACATCATCTGATTGGCTGATGAAATACCTTGGCGTCATCGTGTATGGCGGAATATTCACATCTTATGCGTTGCCTTGGACGTTTTTTTTGGTATTTTATCACGGTGGGGCTTCTTCGACAACCTTGGTGTTCCCTGTTGGGGCGCTGTCCATGCCGATGATCGAGTGTCCTGCGTTGCATGCGCCATTTCGAGTGTCGGCACGCCATAATTCGCCGTCGTTGTGTTGGATTGACCAATCGGATCGATTCTAGATCACGAATCAACAATTCTAGGATTTGAGAGCCATTTGAACCGAAGCAGTGATGGCCTCCTTGATGCTGTAGTCCGGGGAGTTCGACAACTCTTGGTCTATTCGCGTTCCATATGCATAGTTAGCAATCACTTGTTGCGTGAGTGGGGTTGTTTGGAAGCGCGACAGTACTGGAATGCATGCATGCTGTGTCGTCGACAGACAACCAACGTTCTTTGAACAGATGCCTTGGGGTGGCTTACGGCACACCTTTGCCATGATGTCTGAACCACACTGCCGTCGTCTGTTCTTTGTTGTGTGTGAACGAAATTGCACCAAAAATAGCAATACATTGCACACCCGAAGAATAAGCAGCATGAGAAAGCTCTCGATTTTACAAATCCAGTGGAGCCTTGTCCTGGTGCACGACCGCCTTTAGAGACGCCAAGCGGTCGTCCAACGCGTGGTTTTCCTGCAAGGAAATGCGATTCTTTTCGTCGAGCCGACGACGCCGTCGTACCAACGCTTCCTTCGTTGCTGTGTGCTTGTTCAATTGATCTTGCAGTGCCCTAGGCGACTGTCGTCGGGACAAACACACACACGCCAACGTACATGACACGCCGAGTCAGTTGGTTTTTGCAGTAGTCGGCGTATTGACATGCAAACTGCAGTAAAACCATGGCAGACGCCAGTTCATTCCCATCTGGATGACATCGCGAGTTGACGGGACTTGCTCCAGGGTGGAAGCGTACCTTCCGTGTTAGCATCTCCGCAGAGTGTGACGTCCATCAGTCCTTCCAACACGTCGACTTGCTTCTACAACATTCCCTTGCGCGTGTCGGCCGATCTCGCTTCAACCAAACCGCATACCTTGTGCACGACGGCACCGACGTTGACTGCGTTCAGCGCCCTCCAATTGATGCAGTCGCAAGGGACGCGGAAGGTAAAGTCGAGTGAAGGAGGCAGCTTTGTTGGTGGGGATGGTGCAGGAGCCATCTCGATAGTGACGGAGATGAGCAGCTCAGGCTGTCTGTAATTTTTTTGCCGTGGCAGTGCCCACCACGTTGGCGGGAATGCACAATCGCAAGGTCGCTGCGCCACACATACAAACTCATCGTACGATTTGGAACAATCCCACAGCTCCACTGAAAGGATAGGTTTCGACGTGTCAGGCATATCTGGCCAGACAAACTACAGGCCCTGTCGGTCCAAGTGGCAGCATACGCCGTGCCCTTACCTGAAATGTGTGCGACTTGAAGGCGCTGGAATTCATCATTGCCTTACTTGAGCAGTCACCGTGGGTTGTAGATGGACCATGAAGAGGTTGGTGGCGAGCTAAAGTCTCATCAAGCAGAGCGACACGCAAGGAACTCGGTTCCGGAAGGTCTCTGGCGTCATGCACCGCAACTGCTATGTGACTGCTCATGGTGTTCGACGAGTTCTGACAACCGGACAATCCTAATAACTTAAATATTTTTTGCGAGCAAATGTAATTCTGAAATATATGTACAAAAAGAGTCCCACAGAATTGGGTATATTCGATACTTTAATTGTCACGATGGAATTGTCAGCCAATAATGATCCAAAAATCAAAAACGTAACGTGTCAATTACAGAGGGATTGTCTGACCAGCATGAAATTCATATTTCAGCTCTACGCACTCATATGAATTGGACTTCTGAAAAGTGCTCCCTGACGTCGGGTGCCGAGTGTTCGCTGTCCATACTGATAACGTCAATAATTCTGGACAATATGTATTCCCACAGAAATGGATCTGTTCCGATCGATACCCCAATTGTTTTGACACGTAACGTAAATTTACGAGGAATTGTCTGGTGACACCAGTGTGAAATTTCCGTATCCCAGCTCTTCGTTTTGGATTTCTGAATAGTGCCCCGTTTCGGCGAGGTGTCGAGCGCACGCGTTACTACTGAG